CGCGCGGGTATTTCCCGTGCCGGACCGTTCCTCAAATCGCCTGTTAAACCCGTGAATATACGATGTCGACCGCGAGTCCCCCTTACTGCTGCTCACTGTGACCAATCACAAGCCAGGAAAACCAACACCAACCATCAGGCCATTGTGTTTGGAAGGCATTTGAAAGGTATGGACTGCACGTTTTTCGTTCGCGAATGAGAAAGCCAGTCAAAAGGTTACTCTTGGTTTTCTTAAAGTTTTCATGGAAAACATAATGGAAGAGTTATTTGGGTTATACTGTACTGTATGAGAGGGATAGAAGTGTAAAGAAGTGTTGAATGGTTGATATCTATTAACAATAAACAGTAACTCTACTACTCAACCATTCTAGAACAGTTTATTAAATTTATGGTTGATAAAACCAGCTATTATGAAGGTTACTCTTGGTTTTAATGGAGTTTCAATGAAAGATATAATCAGCTAAGTCGTTGCTGTGCACGTCAATCAAGTCCGATACTTAGGTGTATACTCAGATCAATCAAGGCGCTTCCATGACATTTCATAGGCATACGGCGCGTGAACTTGAAAACTTCGAGTCTGACATTTGGATTGACGTCCGCCAAAACTCCGAGTTTTCCGTTGTTGCTAGGATAACTAGCGCGAGCGTCATTTTAATGAAACGCCTTTTCAAACATTCTATGCCATCTTTCTTTCATTCTTCCATTTCTCCGAAAATGAATAAAAAATGTTATGTACTGTAACACACGAATGGCTTGCGTCATTGCCCAATCAGAGACTCACCACTAAGAGAACGATTGTGCAATGACTTTTTCTGTTCCGAACCAATCAAAAGGCAATAAACCTACGCCAAGAGACCAAGCTGTGACCAATCACATCATTTTGTTTTCGGAAGCCATTCGAGTGTCGTGTGATGGCGTATTTCCCCATAACTTCAAAACTCGACAACAATCTTTCAGTTTTAAAGGAGATTTCCAGTATGGATATGAAGTTCTATTTCATTTACGTAGGAAAAATACGTCAATTTTGCATCAATATGTTACGAAATAAAAAACGTGTTATACAGGTCAAAACAACGGGTTGTCTTATTCATTCTATTCATGTCTTTGTGGGAGATATTCGCGTTAAGGATTGATCACGTTCCATCGGACCGTTCTACATGTCTGCGAGTTAGCCTTGACCTTATTTATATCATCCCACCCGTTATTTCAGGGTTTGTTATTCATTAAAATTATTTTAGTTATTTTTTGAAAAGTTATTGCTGTTTAAATGAAAATTTTTTCTTTTTTGGGTGTATGCAGATTTATGAAGACTTAGAAATGGGAAATTCAGACTTTGGGTGAAATAGTTTTCTGATCTTAATACTGAAAGATCTTCAAAATTAAAATCTTTTATTTGAGTTTCATTTATATTAAAGTAACATTTCAAATGTTTACAACAAACAAAGCAAAAAAAGAACGAACGAACGAACGAACGAACGAACGAACGAACGAACGAACGAACGAACGAACGAACGAATGAACGCACAAGCATAACTTATGTTCTTTTGATATGCAGCAATGCAATCGGGAATCAAAAGAAAACCTCTTTGAGAATAGTAAAAAGACGTGAAGAGACTCTAATTGGCTTGGTTGGTTGTTTGTTTGTTTATGGAAATAATTTTCAATTAGTGACAGTGTTAACCTAAGGTTACTACAGCTGGCTAGAGTGCAAACAATATAACCGTGAAACTTTAGTAATACTAAATAGCACAATTTCATGCAAATTCCATTTTTTTCTACTGTTTGATTAGCACTATTTTGTACTATTTAGTAATTAGTGTTTCACGGATTAATTATTTGCACTTTAGTACCACCAAGGAACTGTTACGTTTTGCAATTAGGTAACTAAATAAAGGTTGATTGATCGATTGATTTTCTCTCTCTTCACACGACATGTTTATAAAAAGGATTCATCAATCGGGAGCCTCGGAGCGGGGGTCGAAATGATCGAAAGAGAAACGTCACTTGTTTTGCGTTTGTCAAACTAGCCTTAAATCTATGCCCATTAGCCCCTAGAATCTTTCAGCAACACTAGACAAACGAGGACATTATATCTATATACTTCTGCTGTTTGATTTGTCACTATCTTAAGCTCCTTATTTTGGAGCCATTGTCAACGACAATTGGACATATTTAAACTGACGTACAGCATGTTTGAAAAAATCGACATGTTCTGCAGCACTGTCGTTGAGTTTACACAAGTTATCGACAAAAACGACTCGTAATTATCGCTAAAATAAGGAAAGACAACTTAAAATGCAAAACTAGTTTTTAGTGTCGATTCTGTTAACAGTGGATTATGGTCTTAATGATAATGTAATGATAGCCTTAGACTTAGGAAAAACCTTTTACTCATATGACATGGTTAGTTTTTAGGAACTGGGTGAAGACGGTCAACGAGATAAGATATCACGATTAGGAGGGTAGGGGACGTAGAACAATCTTGTAACGACAGGATGGGTGTGGCTGTGTACCCCCCTCTCACTACCTATCTTTTAGCTTCATTTTGCTTACCAGTTTCTCTATAAATTTGAGAGATTAAATATTATTGTATACTCTATTAGTGGTTTTCTTTCCCCTTCTTTTGAAAAAACGGCCAAAATGTTTTTTCATCTGTCGTTAGCTTTATCTTAACTAACCCCTCAGGGGGTCTCCAAAATCGCCCCACCCTCAATTTCCCTCGCAAATATATTTTTAACGAACTCAATTCATTCCTGTGAAGTAACTGAATGTTGTCAGCTGATAATCTCAAGTGCGCTTGAAGGAGTTTTTTTTAAAGTTGAGAGCTAGCCATAATAACAACATATACGCGACCACATCAGCAGAACTGTAATATCAACATCGTGCCTAAATAAATATCATTATTATTTTTATTATTATATTCAACAGATTTGAGCCATTTCGAAATAAACTGACTGATGATAAACGTTTCGCTTACTTTCGAAAACAGTTTACAAGGCCTACTCAGCGATATCATTTATCATGTGGACCTCGGTGGTTAGGTTGGTTGCCAAGCAACATAACCTAAGACATGGATGGACAAAAATGTTAAAGAATGGTTTTCGGAGTTAATTTTGCTCAAGATTTGTAGAGGTTCATAATCATCTTAAAGTCGTTAGTATTTAAGTGATGAGTTTTCTTAAGCTGGGATAAAGTGGTCTCTAGCTAGTGACATCTTTTATTTCAGGTTTTTTTTCACTGTACAGTTAATCTCTGTTTATATAGCTTATTTCTGTTATTTTAAGGCATAGCAAAGCGATGTTAATCCGTTAATAGCCCATTTAGTAGTCTTTGTACACATAGTGAAATCTACTCACATTCGTTCTGTCTTTTGTCTTCAATCTAGTCAAGTCTGTCACGTCCGTCCCTAGTGATTTTTCACCCTGATTTGGATTGGTTTATTCAACATGCCTCAGAGTGGGAAGGCTGTTTCCTCTTTAGTAAAGTGACACAGCTGTTCCGACGTTGGATTCTTCAGTCAACACTTGAATGTACTTAAATAAAGCCCGTTTCATTTCGTAAAACACTTAAAAGTAGCTAAGGCAGGGGAGATCGTTGGTCGTTTTTGGACCTGTTAGCCCTCGAAGTACGACTGAGATAAAATGGCTTTTCACCAGTACCTCATGCTCATGCTTTCGTCAACTGTCTTTTTCCTCCTCGTTCGCGAAGGAACGACTATGCCAAAAGGTCCGCCTCCTTGGGCAAAAGCGAAAGCTTTCGGCCATGGTACGTATGTGTGAACAATTTTCTTTTGTACTTTGCCGAAATTTAATCTAGTTTGAAAAACATTATTGCTTTTGTTTGAATTATATGATCGGAAAAGATATAAAAATATCATATCCAAAGCTGTTATTGGTTTAAATATTAAGAGAAAAATCTCACTTGAAATTGTTTTCGACTATTTTTCTGGAGTCGTTTCGGTCTGGGGATGAATTGTGTAACTTAGTCATGAACTTCAATCGTCCATCTGCTTTAAAACTCTTTTTAAAAAGGTGTTCTAAGGTGTTTCAATGATCAATTAATAGTCCATTTACAGCAATATCACATATAGGAGTGTAACGTTAATTTGATTTGACTCCTTTACATCTATCGAAAGAGGATTGTCTTTTGCGAAGTTTGAATACAGCAAAATGAATCAAATGTTGTTCAGTGTAATGATAATAAAATGAATCTCTTTGAATGAGCGAAAAACGAGTAACCAAAACGACATCTTTTTAGTAATGTTTAACGCCGTTATAGCAAGTACTCTTTTGCATAAATATGTTTTTGAAATAGTTACTTTGGCTGTGAAGAAGAAGTTCGATGTTCTGGAAGGAAGAGTGAGAGAGAGAGGAAGGAAGGAAGGAAGGAAGGGAAAAAGGAAGAAAGGAATAGAGAGAGAGAGAGAGAGGAGAGAGAGAGAGAGAGAGAGAGAGAGAGAGAAAGAGAGAGAGAGAACGAGAAGGAGAAAAGATACACAAACATAGGAACATAGCAGTAAGAAAAGAGCTGTAAGATTCAAGAAATTTGAATAAACAAAACTCGAACTTTATCAACTACGATTCTTGTCGTAAGAACTGAAAATTTTTTCTCATTTTTCTAACCATCTAACTAACCATCGTTAATGAAATCATAGCTAGTTTCGATCTTGAATGTCAGACGACCACAAAAACTCCCCCACGATATCATACTGGAGTATAAACTCAACTTATCTTTAATTCCGTTTTAATTTGCAAAGTCCATCATTAAGGCTGGCAGAGAGAGCATTTAATGACTGGTAAATGCGAGAGTTTTTCTAATTTCCTGCACGCAGTCAATTTCGTGTCATGGCGACAAGTGCTTCATTTTGTTCGCTTTGTCAATACGTTTTGGTTAAACAAACTGAAGATGCCAGGAATGGGATAACGTTTCCTATGTTTGACATACTAATAAAAAATCTTATCTATTAGAGCATCTTATGACAAAATTTGTCGCGAAATTTTTTTTAGATATGCTTTGATTTGTTGTGTAATATTTGAAAATTAGTGAGAAGGAGAAGAAAATGAAGAAAACGAGCAAGAAAATTTTATTTTTTCAAAAATTCTTCGCGAAAATATTTATACTGAGATGGGCCTTGAGTTGATTTGTCTGATTTAGAGATATTTGAAAATGAAGGAGTAGGAGAAGGAGAAGGAGAAGGAGAAGAAGAGGAAGAAGAAGAAGAAGGAGAAGAAGAAGAGGAAGAGGAAGAAGAAGAAAAAGAAAGACGAGAAGCAGGAGAAAGACGAGAAGTAGAAGAACAAAGAATAACAGAGGTAAGGAGAGAAGCAAGAGAAAGGCGAGAAGCAGAAGAAAGACGAGAAGCAGAAGAAAGAAGAATAACAAAGNAGAGAAAGAGAAAGAGAAAGAGAAAGAGAAAGAGAAAGAGAAAGAGAAAGAGAAAGATGAAACTAGAAATATGATAAATTGTAATGGCTGCTACAAGCTGATTTTATCAGCAGCATAATTCAATATACAAACTTCTTTTCAATTTAATTTTAGACAAGCTGCTGCATTCAAAACAAACGTTTTTATATATTGACAAAGATATCTTAAAGACTATCTAGCGAGATAAGACTAGATAAACGAATTGAGAAAAAAAATCTTGTTGGCGCGACACGGAAACCGAGATTTTATCACTCAGCAATTTTCAGCCTCATAATCTAAACAACGGAAAAAAACTTCAAACTATATGAGGGCTAACGAGAAAACGTCCGTAAAGTCTTATCAATGGATCAAAAAATGCAACAAATTTTATCTTTAACAATGTGGTATGGAACTGTATATAACATATGGCCAAGAATAACGCAGAATTTCACGTGAAAATTCGAAAATTTTAAAACATTGAGCAGATGCATCAACCGTTAAAGGTCCTGAATTGGGTCATGAGTGACAATTTTCCAACCTTAATTCAGACAAAAATTTAGCTCATAAATTATCGAGAAATCTTATAACCCTTTCAGACCACGTTCATTCCCTAGAGTTTTATTTCTTTGTTTAGTGGTTGCGCATGAGAAGACACATGATCATGGATACGACTCAAGCAAAAATTTCTATTCTTTTGATTTTTTCACTATCGGTTTTTAGATAATTTGGACGGGGATATTCTATTGAATCAAGAACTACTGCAGCGTCTACAGAGCAAAACCGACCCAGAAGCAAAATACGAAACTAGAAACATCCTCAAGGACAGCAAGTACAAATGGCCTGGCGGAGTCGTTCCTTTTATCATCGATTCGAGTTTTGGTGAGTTGGGTTTTCTTTGCTTTTTAGGTAGAGATTGGGGAGGAGTCAGGTGGAATACCGCTGTTCACTATTTTGATTGGCTGATGTTTTTTTCGCACAATGTGATTGGTCTGAGCTTTTCACAGTCATACCAAAACTTCTCTTATGCAGGCTAATTACTTAGAGAACCTCAATGCATGCTGGGAATAATTGTAAATGAAAACCGCTGCTTACAATCCCACGCAGACGAAACTTTCGTATGATTGAATACCGCTTTTTACGACTCATGCGTTACTAACCTTACAACATGGTATATCTTCTGTTAGACGATTACCCTCACGAACGCACGATGATCAACAGCGCCATTGGTGAAGTCCATAAAGTTTCCTGCGTTCGTTTTGTCCAGCGGACTTCAGAGGCACACTATATAACATTCGTCAGAGGTTCAGGGTAAGTCTTGTGTTTGAACAGATGCTTGGCTTTGTGTTTGTTGAAGATATCGAAGCAGGCAAATCTGTCGAGTGCGGATGAGATAAAAGGAATAAATCCATTTTAAGAGATAACTAGCTAAAAACTAGTGTGAGCTGTGTCGGTGTTTCTAATGAAACAGTAATGATGAAAAGGTAAATTATACACCGTGAAAAGATGAGAAAACTTACTGACGTTTCGGACGCTAGTCCTTCGTCGGAGTAAAAGAGACGAAGGACTAGCGTCCGAAACGTCAGTAAGTTTTTTCATCTTTTCACGGTGTATAATTTACCTTTTCATCATTACTAAATCTATTTTAGTAACGTCAGTGGTTGTCAAGGCAACCACCCTTAACGAACGAACGAACGAACCTATTTTAGTAACGTCAGTGGTTGTCAAGGCAACCACCCTTAATGGATAGTAAATGGAAGCCCCCCCTCCCCTCGCCTGATTACAGTGCTTCAAAACCTCCCGTAAATGACAACCTATAAGCGAGCAGCCTGAATAAGCTGCTAAACATTTAATAAGCTAAATTTCCACATTGTAGAGTACAAACACTATAAGTGTGTAACATAAATACCACTAAATACTGCTAAATAATGCTAATCCTATTGTTTAATTAGCACTATTTACTACTAAATAGTGCACACTTTTAGTGTTTGTACTCTAGTGGGCTATACTTAATACCTAAAAGTTACCGATAGTACTGACCTCTGTTAAGCGACCACCTATGAACGTCCTACCTCAATTTAGCGACCATTTGCCAAATCCCCTAAGGTGACCGCTTAACAGAAGTTCCAGTGTAAAGTCAGACTTTCGCATTTCGTTTATCGCTAATCTAATGTTTTGCAGTTGTTCATCTTATGTTGGTTATTTGAAAATGGCTGCACAGCCCGTGTCGATTGGAACAGGGTGTGCTTTCACTGGCACGATAGTACACGAACTACTACATGTACTAGGCTTCTTTCACACTTCTTCACGAAAGGACAGAGATTCGTACGTAGTTGTCTACCCAGATAACGTGCAGTCAGGTACAATGAATCGTATTGAATGCAGGCAGTGCAATTAGTAGTCTCCTACGCAGCCGCTATTATTGTCGTCACGCAACGCTCACTCCCCTGAGCTACTTAGGGAAGTAAGCGTTGCGTGACGAAACTAATTGCGGCTGCGTAGATTACGCAATTAGATCCTGAATATTAAACAGGAGTGATGGCACATTAAGGGAGATAAGCCATGGTAACGGTGAACTAGGGTACCGTTCGTTTTCCTGGGCGTGTGGGGTGGGGGGCTGGTGGAATTTTTTGAAATGTATGACCTTACAACCTGATTTACTTACGTGGCCCCCTTTTAAACCGGGATAATTTTCAAAATCAATCCCCCCCCTCCCCCATAACCGTAAAAAATGACAAATAAAGGGTGTGCCAAATATAAAGATGACACACATAGGGGAAAGGCGTATAAGCAAAAGGGGAGGCGCATAGTCGTCTGGGTTTTTTCTTATCAAACTAAAAAATACTATTAATCGAATAATAAATAAATATTAATTAATTAATTAATTAATAAAAATATTTTATACTTCTTTCCTAACTTATAAATGAAATTTTATCATTTAAAAAATACTAATTATGAAAATAGATCCAAAACATATTCTCATTTCGGATTTTAAGGATATGAACATAATTTTTGGAAGTACAACTCGGATCAAATACAGAATTTCGGCGCCCCGTACGAATTGGTCTCTCTTATGCAGCCCCCGAGGAACGCCTGGTCAAAGAATTCTCGAAACACTATCGAATCAAGAAAGGGACCTTCAGTTGTCCTTGGTAACCCAGACAGGATGACTGAGATTGATATTGGACAGTTGAATACTTTGTACGAATGCACCAACTACAAAGGTGAGTGCAGCACTTCACAACCGGGGGCACAGGAAGCCCGATAAGTTTTATTTGCGGAAGTTTTTTATTTTCCACCTAATGTATTCCATCCCACGAGAATAAAAGGACAAAAGGCGTGGCCGCCACGGCATGTTGGTAGACATGACGAAAGACACCAAGACCACATTTTTTGTCAAAATCAACCAAAATGGCGGCTATGAAGTCACATGTACCACATGTGTTTCACGTCATTTCCTGTCTTGTCCTAAAGAATGTTCATCAGCTGAGTAAAACGTTTTCAATAGAATTCTTTCTGTTTGACAGCACATTGGGATCAGTGTTTTATACTACCAATTGAAGCAGATGATGACATTCAAATGCTTTTTCAAAGGATTGCCACGTCAATTAAAGCTACTTTTCCAAATCCTAAACGAATCGACTACACGATAACACAACCGTGGTAAGATAAAAACCAGAGCACAGTTAACGTACAGATATAATTTGTTATGTTCTAGTATGCTATCAATGGCTAGGAATGCAAGATGGTCGCATCACCGACTCCCAGCTCACCGCGTCGTCGCACACTCCTTACGATGACCCTCACCAAGCCAGACTTCACCTCAGCAGCACTGGTAAAGGCAACGGGGCGTGGTGCGCGGGATCCAACTCAGTGGGCCAGTGGATCAAGGTAGGGGCGATAACAGGTGTCAAAGACGTGATGTGCAAATGAGAGTATTATGAGTGTGGGTTGCGCAAAGTGGAGTGGTTCAAGAGTAAGAGCGAGGAATTGCAATATTTCAAATACACAAAAAAATTACTCGATTCGGATTGGACAAAAGTAGTACCATTAAATCGTTAATTGTACTCTGTAGTTTCGAAGAAACTGCTCAATTTTACTACGCCCTATTCGTATTTTTCCGCAGATTGATTTAGGGTCGTACAAGTACCTCAAAGGCATCGCTACTCAAGGGAAAGTGGACCCTTTCAGCGGTTCCTCATGGGTAACGCATTACAACTTTCACTTCAGTTATGACGACTCCTACTGGTACGACTACGCTACTTGGTATAGTACTGGACTGGTAAGCAAAACATCTTTACGCCAATGTACAGCTATTCCAAAAAAGGTTGAATACTGAATACTGCATACTGAATAGTGCATTCCAAGACCAAAGGGCATTGTAGTCCAGAACTGGACCCACTTTTATCTGCGCTTGCGCGGTAAAAATATGAGAAGAAGATCTGGACCGAAAGTCAACTTTTTTAGAATCAGAGTTCAGAGGATCATTGCGCGCGCAAAACATTAAACACAATGATGAAGAGTAGGTCCAGTTCTGGGCTAAGGGCATTGTGGCCATGACCCACAATGCCGTTCGGTCTTGGAATGCACTATTTAGTATGCAGTATTCAACTTTTTTTGAAATAGCTGTATACAAACAAGGCGCAAGTTGTTATGCGGTAATGTAGGCGTTGCCATTCACATGGACCAAAAGTACCTTCGAGTGTCAAACAATAGAACGAATCTATTGTGTTACTGCTTCGTTCTATTGTTTTATAATCTAATAGTTCCTTTTGGTCCACTTGAACGAGTGTTAACCGTTCCGAGTTTGATGGGAAAACTGGGTCGAGTTGGCATTACAGTGCATTGTGGGACTGTTTTAGTTTGAAGTGAAAGAAAAGTGATAGAAAACCTTGATCGTCGTGCTAATTTTCAAATTCATTTTGTTTCTTGATGCATGAAATATCAACCGATTCATAAAGCGTCCTTCATAAAGCCCCATAATGCAGCGCATTTTTATAACTCGGACAGGCGAATTCTTGGAGTGCAACCACGTGCCCAAAAAAAACCCATGAGATAAAATTTAAAATGTAATGGCCACCATCTTGGTTGGTCTAACAAGAGAAGCTTAATTAATGAGGAATGCTTTGTATAGCCAACCAAGATGGCGGCTATGAGGTAACATGCCTCCCAAGAATAGAAGAACAGTTGCTTGCTAGTTCTCTCCTGTGCGTCAGTCGAGGGTTTCTACGGGCCTAACTCCATCCAATGCTCAGAATGGTATTAAACTAGAGCGCATGCAGTAAAACCATGTTTTCACTCTAACCAAAACATTCATTACGCAAAGACAAATACACATGAGGGTTGAGTGATAGCAACTATTAGGAACGATATCAGAAACGCTATTACAAATGCTAAAACGATTTTTTCCCCTTTTTTCAGACTGGGAACTTTGACGATTTCTCAGTCCAGTACAACTCCCTTCCTGTTGTAATATCTGCGCGCTACATAAAGATATTGCCAAGCAAATGGAACAGGAACATGTGCATGAGGATAGAGTTATATGGGTGTGACGGTAAGTAACGGCAAACAATGGGGACATTTCGTACGACTATTAACGTGGTACGGACGTACTGTGTCGTGTAAGGGCATTCTGATTGGATGAGCAGTTGTGGCGTAATCGATACGAATATGGCATCTGAATATGCGTAAACCTAGCTATTTTCATTCAGTTGCACATACTCGAATTGTACTATTACATGTGGGACTGGAAACGAACTCGTTTCGCCAGGAGTTGTGGGATTGGTTTACCCATTTATGAGATCATTAATTTCATCCATACCCAGACACAACATCTGGGCTGATCAAAGTCAGGGCATGACTAGCTCACAAATTGAACCCTGAAACAACCTCTGGGCTGATCCAAGTCAGGGCATGGCTAGCTCACAAATTGAACCCTGAAACAACCTCTGGGCTNATGGCTAGCTCACAAATTGAACCCTGAAACAACCTCTGGGCTGATCCAAGTCAGGGCATGGCTAGCTCACAAATTGAACCCTGAAACAACCTCTGCGCTGATCCAAGTCAGGGCATGGCTAGCTCACAGATTGARCTCTGAAACAACCTCTGCGCTGATCAAAGTCAGGGCAAGGCTAACTCACGGGTCGAACCCTGAAACAACCTCTGCTGATCAAAGTCAGGGCATGGCTAGCTCACAGATTGAACCCTGAAACAACCTCTGGGCTGATCGAAGTCAGGGCATGGCTAATTGCTTGGTTTTTCAGAGGAAGAAAACCCAGAGTACCAGGAACAAAACCCTCGAATCAAAGGAGAGACCTAGCGAACTCTGCTCCTCTGAGTTAGCACTCGTTCAGATCGACCGAAAGAACCTCTTGGATCATAAAACAATAGAACGAGTCAGTAATACAATAGATTCGTTCTATTGTTCGTCACGCGAAGGTCCTTTCGGCCGAAGTGAACGAGTGCTAACAGCTCACATGTGATTGCTAGTGCAATAATCGAACTTGAGACCCCAGAGGTAAACGCAAGTGCGCTACTTAAATTATCTAATGGTCAATTAATTACCTCTTTTTGTTTTCTTTCTTGCTTTCTTTTACAGTGTAATGAAGTTCARTGCTCAGTAGATGGAATATTTTGTGTACAAACGGTTCAGAACACCAAGGCCATTGTACATATTAGCGTCATCATTACCGTTAAAGTACAAAACCTAACACTGCTAATCGTGCATCGGGTTAAATTCTTCATTTATTTGTTTGCTCTTTGCGTTATGAATCTATTAAAGTTTAAGTGGATTGGAGACTTTTGGAGAGTGCGTTCGTAAGGACTGTCTGGTGGGTGTACTTGGGAATCGTATATCCATTCACGCTAAACTTTCTCCCTTCAAACAACTATCCATCGATACATTAAAAAAAAACAATTCCCTATCCTCCTAGCCATACACTTACTGATCTACCCATACATATTATCATACAAGTATCAACCAATCACTCAATCAAACCACTTACCCAACCACTAATAAAGCTAGACACTTGTCGCTTTATCGATCGATTGATCCTACTCTCTCTCCTTCCACCCATACACCCAACAACCCAACCCTCAATCCTCTTTTACTCCGACGAAGGACTAGCGTCCGAAACGTCAGTTTTTTCATCTTCTTCACGGTGCATAATTTACCTTTTCATCATYACTGTTTCATTAGAAACACCGACGCAGCTCACACTAGTTTTTAGCTAGTTATATCTCCCTCAATCAACTATACACTTACCCACCCACTTAACCACCAATATACCCATCCCATCACCCATCCCTCAACCTCCACACAAACCTCCTGTATTTCATCCACCACCCCCCTTCAATATCGTTTCT